AGTTGTATAAATTGATTATTAATCACATTTTTATTTAATATCTTTTCATGTAATTTTAAAGTATTAATTAATATTATTTATTTTATCCAAACTTTATGATGGTGTAGTCATGTGTCTTTACCGCTGATCTTTTTTTTTTTTTTGCCTTTTAGCATCTTTCCGTTTTTAAAATTTTCTTTCTAATGATTATTTTTTTGTCAGCTTTTTTCTCCTTTCACTTGTCACCTTATACTTCTAGTTTGCTTTTCCTCCCTTTTGATGCTCTGTACAGTTTATTAAACTGGTAAGTGTTTCAGGATTCTTCCCGCCTGAGTGACTCTGCAAATCCTACTCTGCTTACTTGAGAACTGCTTTTTGGTGCTACTAACAGAATGACTTGGACACAAAGAGTCGCTGAAAAGTTGGTCGATTCTTTTGTAAAGAATTTAGGGAAGTAAAGATTAATTAAAGTGTGTTTTTGTAGAAGGCAGTTTCTTCTTGAACATGTAATCACCTCTCTTAATACTGTAAGACATTCTCATAGGCTACCTTGCTAGCATGAAAACTATTTTCTGACACTAAATTTGTTCTGTTTCTCAGCAATTATTTATAGTTTTCATTTGCATAGACACTACTAATCAGTGTGTTCCTGCACGAGCTAAACATAACCTAGGCCCAGAGAATGTTACTTTATTGCTTGACATTTTCTGTCTCATACAGAAAGATTTAGATTGAAAACCATTATCTATAGTTATTTAAAAATATATTAAAAAATCTGTCAGCATTTAGACAACTTAGCTGTAATGAAGAGCAAGATTCTTTTTCATTTGTAAATTTTAATCTTTCAACTATGTTTATGAAGGATTAATGCAGTTAACAAAGTTGTGGTAAGCACTTACTATGTTAAATATAAGATTGAGTCATGGGGACAGAAAGGTGAAATAGATTATAGTTTGTAAGTGAAATATGTAATTACAAGTGATATAAATTTAATAAGAGGCATGTGCAAGTCTCTATGAGAGAATGCAAGGCGAGGCAGCTCTGGGGAGGTTAAGGAAGTTTTCACAGAGTAAGTGACTGATGAGCTGAGTTTGACAGATTGGGGACAAGAATGGGAAGACATTCCAGACAGAATATGAAGAGCATATAAAAATATGTAAATGAAGGAAGGAGCATGACTGATTTAGGAACACTCAAGGGATTTGATTTGGTAATGGGTCGGATGGGAGAAGATTAGGGTGGTTAAGAGTAAAACTAGAAAGGTAGATGGAAGTCAGATCATGGCTTGAATGCCTTACCCAACAGTTTAGATGTAATCTGGAAAACATGGAGGGAGAAATTGAAAAATTTTAAGC